TTCATTTGCTCCTTGGTCCTCCTGTCAAGCCTTGCAAAGCGACTCAGCCCCATGGCTGACAGCCTTTGTACAGAGTAGGCTTCAGTGCCCTTTGGGGCTGCCCCTTCCTCACCCTGAACTCTTGCCAGCCTGGCCTTCTGCTTTTGAGCACCAGTCCTTTGTTTATTTTTTGGGTGGGTGCCCACCTTGCTAGTCCCACCACCTCCCTTGCCACCACCCCTGCCAACCCCAGCCATCTCCCCACCCCTGCCACCCCTGCCAGTTTCCCCAATCATCATCACCCCATTCCTCATCATTGCCATCTCCCCACCCCTGCCACCCCCTTGGACTCCTGTCTCTTGAGCCATCACCCCCCAAATCCCCATCACTGGCTTGGCTGCTGCTGTTGCTTTGGGACCTTTTCTTTTTCCTTTTTAGTGGGCTCCTGCTTTTTGTGGTGCTGAAATCTCCTTCTGAGTCTCTGTCATAGTTTGGTGATTCATCTGCCATCAGAAAAGCACTTTTCCAGTGCCTTGTTGAGAGCCCTTTTGCAAGGCCCTTTGTTGACTACAGTGCCTTGTACAGTGCCCTTTTGCAGGGCCCTTTAGTTGGCTCTGTGTTGTTGGCTATTTGATTGCTACTATATTAAACTTACAACACAATGTGTTGGCTAGTGCTTGTTTTATTGCTGCATTGGCTGGCTTGTGCTGTTTCATTGCTTTTTGAACATTAAGCTGCAGCAAATGTGAAAATGACAAACACAAAGCTGCAGCAAATGCTCCTAAGTGCACCAGGTCTTGCCCAATTGAGCAAAAGTATCCAATGGAGTGCTCAGTGTGTTTTCTCAAAGAGATGCTGTTTTCTCAATACCCACAGCTGCAACTACCATGTGCCCTTTTGCAAGGCCCATAGGTGCTCAAAGGTGTCCATAGATGTCCTTTTTGCAAGGCATTGTGTGCAAAGATGTTGTAGAGCTTCTCCAAGCTTTGCAAGCAATACAGCCTGTGCTTGCAATAGACTGTATCAGAACAACCACAGGTGCACTTTTGCAGTGCACCTGGTGCACTTTTGCAGTGCACCTCAGAAGCTTGCCAGTGCTTCTTCCCTCATTGCCAATGCTTTTTCCTTGGAGCAAGGCTTGGCCTTGTAGATCTTCTGCACCAGGGCCTGGTGATTTAAGCTTTGCTTCTTAGAGATTGCCACCCACAATTTCTTCTTGTGGCTACCAGGCTCCAAGGCAGTGATGTAGCTTTGTTTTGTGCCTCTTGTGAAGTATAATGCAGCTTTCTCAGCTAGGACTTTGTGGTGTGCAGCAGGCCTCTTCTAAGGTGAGCATACAGGTTTCTTCATCCTTTTGATTTCTGCTTTTCTGCTTGGCAAGGGTGTGGTGGCTTCTCCTGGGAGGAGGTCATCACCATCTTCAGATGCCTGGCTCAATGCAGGAGTCTTGGGCAGCCCATACTCATCTTTTGCAGGTGTGCTCACATCTGATTTAGCGACTTTGAGCGCCTTTTTTTGGGGTGTAGCAATCTGGTGGTGCTTCTGCAACTGCTGGATGAAACCATTGAATTTGTCAGCCTTTCCAGGCAGCAGCTTGCCAATGAATTTGTCAAGCCTCTCTTCCCAGCCATTGTTCCATGCTAAGCTTCTCAGATGTTTCTGAACCACCAGCAACTTGTCAGCTATGTGCCCTGAAACTTCAGCCAAAGGTTGCTGTGGCTTAGGCTTCAGGTGTGGCTGCCTGCTCAAAATCATGGATACAGCCTCCTTCAGATCTGAATACCCCACATTGAGTGTAGGCGACACTCTTTGAAGGCAAGTGCTCAAGTCTATGAAGTTGACCAAGTCAGGTCTGGGTGCACATTCTCCCCAAATGTGCTTGTACTCTCCAAAATTGGAGAATATGCAATCATTGGTCTTTGCAATTTCCCCCCACAGATCGACCAGGTGCTCCAAGTCAATTGCATCTTTCTTGATGTTTCTATTGCCACCCTTTTTCATGGGCCCTTTTGCAAGGCCCAATGTTTTGTAAAGGGCTCTTTTTCAAAGCCCAACTAAAGGCTATTTTTCAGCAGGTCTCAACAGAGATGCTGCCAATGACCAACAACCTGCAACTGCCCAGGTGCATTTGATGTCCTCAACAAGACCTTCAGCATGGCCAGCCAATATCAATAATATTGAAAAATGTATATCAATAATATTGATATGAAATATTGATCTTGCTTAGTCGACAAAAATATTGAAAAACACACCTTTTCAATACAATATTGATCTCCGTTTGCATTCAATATTTTTATTGAATTTTTCAATCAAGGATTCTCAGGGTTTGCCGTACTTGCCACACTTATTCTTCTCCCACCAGCCCCCTTCCCAAGACTCTTCTTCTTCTTCTTCTCCGGTCGGCGACCGCAGTCTACTTCTCGCGCGCGCGTATCCGGTACTATAGAGCCAAACAGCTGCAGAAAAAATTCTGTATATATATATATATATACGTAGAAACCATATACTGGCATACAACACATCTTTCAGAAGCAGGACGCCCTTTTTCCCACATATAAAAATTTCTCGCGGAGAAATCCACTCCGGGCGTCAAAGAGTTAGCAGGAACGCGCCAGGTCCCATCCTCTCAACCCTCAGCTGTCGCTGAGCGCCAGGGGGACGTCTCCGGCGGTGAGACGCGCCCGCAGGCGGCGAAGGTGATCGGGGTTTCTTCTTCTCCTTCTTCGGCTTTTGCTTCTCTGTCTTCTTCTCACCCCGTTTCTTCTCCTCTTTTCTTCTCTTCTCTCTCTTCTCCTTCTCAGGCGCCGACGTCCGCTGCTTAACAGCGAGTCGTTTTTGCCATTGTCGACATTTGCCGGAGGAGTTTTGGTGCCGTTCCATGCCAGATGCACCGCCCCAGACTTGAGACCAGCAGAACCGACAAGTCGAGACTGGCTCCTCCTCCTCCGAGGACGAGGTACTGGAAAGCTCCACTGCCTTGGCTCCTGCTGCGGCCTTGCCTGCAGGTCTGGAACTCTCTGGGTGCGCCTCCTCCGTCACCTCCTCGTATGACTCCGACCCACTCGGACCGTAGTCCACACCCTCCATGGCAGAGACGCGGCCAAACGAGAAAGAAAAACCGAGATGGCTGCGGAGACATAGACACATCTGCGTGCACCTAAGTGTATATAAATATCGATTTCTATGGATGCGCTGTAAACAACAGGCTCGCGCAACTTTACTCTTCTCTCTCGCATCCGGACAGTGTCGCGGCTAGAACCACGGGGCACTGGATCCGGCTAAGCGTCCCCATGTGCAAGTCTAGTAACCGGCCCCGATGTTTCAGCTCTACTCCTGCGTCTTCTGCCGCTTGCGTAGCCTCGGGACGTCTTCTTCGGCGCCGCCTTCGGCGCCGCTGCGCTCTCTGCGTCTGCTTTGGCTGGTCGCAGCTCGTCCTTTGCCTGGCGGATCAAGCTGGAGACAGCCTTGACGCAAGTTTTCAAGCTGGCCTGGTCGTACGGCAAGTCCTCTAAGTCAGCACTGGGACAGACCTGATGCGCAGCCACCACCTCACCGCTCTTGGTAGACCAGAGGTGCACCTTGTCCAGGGCCTCCTTCACTCCATCTTTCAACTCCTGCAGACCAGGGTCCTCCTTCTTCTCCAACTGCGCTGTCAAAGTCTTGAGTTGCTGCAGCTTGGGTTGGAGAAACCCAAACTCTTGCCGGCCACACCGCTGAGCGCGGAATTTTTCTTTTCGACCTTGGCCTTTTGCCGGGCTGCGGCCTGCTCAGCCTTTGCCGCGGACCTAGCCTCAGATTTGGCGCTGGCTCGGGCTTTGCCCGTGGGCTTGGCGGCAGCAGCCGTGCTTGGCAGCGTATCTGGGAGATGCCAACCATCTGCCTGCTGTCCCTCGTCGCCTGCGGCTTCCTTGTCTTTCTTCTTTTTCTTCGCAGCCGCAGACTCCCGCTCCAAGATCTCTGCTTCGATTTCTTCTTCTAAGTGTTTGGAGACCTCCGTTGTTGTGACCACTTGGAACAGCTCGCCCATGGGGCCACTCTGGGTTGGACAAGCGCGGACCGCATCTTCTCCGTAGCCTTGTTCCGTCCAAAACTTGAGAGGCTTGTAAGGCGCTTCGACCTTGATGCCATGCACGCGCTTTTTCCTCCGCAGGCAGACTTCTTTCAAGGATGCTCGCACCAACTTCCAATTTGCTCGAGAATCCTTGGTATTGGCCACCTTGCTGAAGAAAGCGTGTTTGTCTTCTTCAGACATGGGTGGCAGGCTGCCCATGTTCCGACGGACCAGCCTCTGAGTTGATTCGCAGTCCACACACAGAAAGCGCGCCCCGTGCGCGCGACCATGCTGTTCGCGACAGCACAGAGCACAAACGTCGGTCTTCTGCGGGCCCACCTGTGTCTCCATTCTGTCCATGGCAGTCATGTTTCTGAGATCTAGAAAACGTCTCCACAAACAGTACTTTTGAGCCCAAAAGCTACTTGTGCAAAAATGCAAATTTCAAGCTATGCCCCCGGGAGTCCGCGGACGTTCCGCGGACGTCTGTCCTTATTTAATTTAATAAGCAACAAAATCCCCGCGGACGTCCGCGGACGTTCCGCGGACGTTCACTACATGCAGCAAACCTAACGTTACGGCAACAGGCGGTGCTCTCCTTTGTCTATGCAACTCCCAAGTCTGGCTCTCAGAAAGTGAACACCACAATGTGGTCGCCTACTGCGCGCGCACGCAAGTGGTTGGCGGAGCGAGCCGCAGCCCGCTTCTTCTTGTGGCTACGTCCAGTGGCCGCGGCCTGTGTGTCTTTGCGAGGCACCAGGCGAACTGGTCTCTCTTCTTTTTTTTCTTCTTCTTTCCAGACACAGACTTCTTCTGCTTCTTCTCTGGGCGGTGTGAGACAGTCGGTCCAGTCCCGCCTCCCGTCACGGCCTTCCCAGACGTTCCGCGCGCAGCGGGTGTTGCGGTCCACTGCGAGGCCAGAACGGAACAGTCTCTGGCTGCTTCTTTGGCAGCTGGCAGCGCCCAGTGCCGCCACAGCGGCTGCGGCCCCCACTTCCCCCACGATTGATCGTCCTCCATGGCGGTTCCAATTGAGCGTTGGCGCGTCAAGCTGCGCATTGAGACACCAAACGCTGACGCTGATGCGTCTTCTTCCCATGTTGACGCTGTGGAGCCAGAACATGAACATGCCAACATGTCTTCACCAGCACCAGCTTCAGCTCCCGTTGAACAAGCGGTTGCTGCGTGAGAGCCCAAACAACTCTCTTCATCAGTTTCAGCTGCACCTGCCAACGAAGTTGGTGCTACAGAGCAGGCTGGAGCTATGGATGCGAATGATTCTTGCGTTTTGGAGATCCTGGTGAACCTTATAAAGGGCAAAAGGCCACATTGGTCAAAACCATCCAGGTTGAACCACGAATGGTCAGTGGTTCTCCGGGTTTCTACAATTTGCTCAAAGACTATTTCATGACGTTGGACGATGAGCAGTTTGGGAACCCTATGGAATGAGTCTAAGCAACCACTTCTGCCCAAGCATATGCAGCACTTGAAAGCACATTGTCGTGTGGGTGATGATTTCCGGCACAGCGATGATGAGGGCCATTCTTTGGAGTCTTTGACTGAGTTTGTCTCCCGGCTGTTGCCCTACTGGAAAGTACCAAATTCAGATTCAGCCAATGTGACCAATGTGGAACAGATCGATCAAAATGCCAAGACAGATGTTGAGCAAAAGGCGGACGGGGCAATGTCCGACGGTCTTACTGCTGCGCTGGAGCATGAGATGGATAAGTTCGAACAAGACATCAGCGAGGTGCCTTTCAAGCTGCAGTGTTTCAATCTTTGTGTTGTGTTTGAATCAATGATAATTCGCGTAAATATATTGTACTAATCTTTATGGAGATTGGAATATTATCAAGCAAAATAACATATAGGCATAGTGACGTGGACATAGACAACCTTTTTCAAGACAATACAGTCCGTCAATGACAATACTGTCAAACCCTGTTTGTTTAATTCCGGACTCTGCACAGAACTATTTTGTAAATACCAACAACTAAACTGATTGAGAAATACTTGAGGTACACAGATGATATTACGTCGTCAACATACAACATAGCATACGCGAAAAAGACCTGTAAACATGTATCAAGTGAGATCAAGAAACTGGAAAGCAGAAAAACATGAATATGAAGTAGGTGAGTTCTTGGTGTGCAGGTGTATACCAACTCACAAACAGGTGTTTCCAATGTAAATTTCAAGCACGTTTTTCATATTGGCAACGACGTTACTACTTTGAAGAACGCGAAAACACATTTGCTTCAATAACTAGATTGAGAACGTAAGAACAAACTTCATTCTTGCTTGCTTTTCAACTTGCCATTCTGCTTAATTAAGGTTGTCCCTGTAGAGAAGCTGCGCGCAACTCCCAGCCAAGATCAGCCCAGACGGTGGCCCAGGTTCGAGCGGACAGCGCTCAAGGTTCATGCGCGCTACGCAAGGTTCCAGACTGCTTCACTCAGACCAGCGCAGCGCCCAAGGTTCCAGCAGACTGCGCTTCTCTCAGACCAGCACAGGGCCCAACGTTCCAGCAGAGAGCACGATTCCAGCAGACGAGACTGTGTCACTCTCACACCAGCGCAGGGTTCCAGCTGAAGGTTCCAGGTCGGAATTCCGGTTTTGGCGCCCCGTGGACCAACTGTGTACCACTCACAGCCCGAGAGATTGAAAGCAAACGGGTGCGCTGTTGGGAATATGTTTGATCGTTTTTTCCAGGGTTGTGGGGTTGCATGGTGGGTTGCGTTCATCGCAACCAACCGCATCTGTCTGTTTTTCGATCAAAACGATGCTCTGCGAAGCTAATCTATCGAAACTTGCCCACATTGATTGCGATCGAATGATGAAACCAAAGCAAATCAAAATAGGTGCATGACGTCTTGAAGGTCCCAATTCTTTAAAAAACAGCCGCAAGCGGCTGCAAGAGGTGGGGTGGGTATCACGGCGGTCACATGGATCTAAGTCAAGGTATATTGAACGCAAATGCGGATACACTCGGAGTAGACACATGCGGATACACTCGGAGTAGACACCCGGGTCAAAACGGCGCGCAAATAGTGGACGCGGAATTGACCCGTTTGACGCGGGGCGTGCGCGCAAGAGCACGCGCGGAGTACACACGGAGTTCGCGCGGAATTTGCGCGGCGCACAGAACAGCTCAAGAGGCATCACCCCGTCAGCCGAGGGGGCTCTGAGTCTCAATTCCCCTCGGTTCAGTGAGTCGGTCAGTTGCGCGCTCGCCTTTCCAAGCGTACCAGTCAGAAACTGTTTGCGGTTGAGTTTTTAGATTTGATGTAAGGACCGTATCCCACTCTACCGTCTGGAAAACACATCGATCACTTGGGCAACTGGTGTTGGCCTGGGATCCTACTTCGCCGGGCATCTCAGCGTCTCCACGTGTGAAGTTTCTACTCACCTTCAAAGCGACCAAGGCTTTGAAGCGATTCCGGCCGAGTATCGCGTTCCCTTGGGATGTCGTGCCTCCCTTTGTTGTGCGCTTAGGAGATGTGCTGCGTGTGCCTAGACTAGTTTTGCCAGCGCGGCGCACTTTACTACCTGAGGTCACCTTCTGGCTTACTCACAGGTTTGCGCAGGCAGAGGGCAAGGGTCCATTTTGGAAGAAAGACGTTGCGCTAAAATCTGGGCAGGCTGCGCAAATGCCACAGTTCGGACTTCAGGAATTTTGTGGTTTGTCAATGATCTCTAAATATTCGGAATGCGCTGTGCATTTTTGGGCTTGAGAGGTTTGCAGCTGTTTGAATATTTTTGTCATGATTCATGTCGTGCTTCGTCATAAGCTGAGGGTTTGGGACAGCTTGCTTGGATTGCCATCGCCCCTTGGGGACACAGCTCGCGGTATTTTGGCAGCTGTGCGTACAGACAAGAGGCCGCCTTCGTTTTACAGCATATCGCTCTGAAGGACGAACGCAAATCATTCTGTTATGACGCATCAGATTAGGAAGGTTTGGTTCATGGTGCGTGTGACTTCTAACCAAATCTCACCCACACGGCGTTAGCTTGCTGAGAGGAAGCTTGATCCGAAGCAGCGTTCGCGTCACATACGAAGTTGATGCGTCGGACATGACGGCTAAGGCTTTATAAGGCTTTAAGTTTTCCAGCTCTAGCCGCGTTCTGCTGGGTTGCAGAATTGGGTCCATAAGGGTTCTTGTAGCTGCGCAGTTGAATTTTTAATCCTTAAGCGTTTGCTGTTAAACCTTTGTCGGTATTACCTACGGGGTCTCTGGTGATATTTTGTTCAAAGGCATTATGCGCTGCGGTGCAGATGGGGCGAAGATTTGTTTATGTTTGGTAGATAATTGTTTCGTTGCGCACTTTGGTTTAAATGATTAACTCATCATGTGTTGTTAAATTTATTTTGGGTTCGTCATTGTGTCTATTTATGCTCCATTGGGTCAATGTAGCTTGTATTGTAACGTAGATTTTTGTCACAACGTTCATGACGCCAACTATCCACTTGGTCCAACATTCTTCGGTGAAGCTTCTCCAACACATACTTAATTTTACCATATGTATGAATCAAAGTTCTCAAAGTGTGAGCAGAAGTCAGCATAAAGCGCGTGATGTAAATGGCAAAAATCGTTTGCGTGCAAACACGCGCCCAACAAAAAACCTATATTGAGTCTTCATCTCAGGCTGAAGACACATCAAAGAGATGGATTTGTCTGATGAGTTTGTTTCAATACCATTTCTGAGTGTTTTATCCACTCAAACGATCCCATCTTTCGTGTTTTCTTTTGAAGGTGTTTAAGAGTATTGGCGCGCTTTAATCCCAAATACGTGGGTTCGTCCAACCGGCGTGATGAAACTTTTGATGCATCCCATCCTTGAACCTTTCTTGCCGCAACTCTAGCAGTTAGGGGTCTTGTTGAGTTTCAGGTTTAGCGTCTGCCGCCCCCATATTCCATCCCGCCATTCGCTGCCAGCCCTCTCTCCATATTGTCCCAACACTGTCATCAGTGTCCAGTAGTTTTGTTGTAACGCCTGTTTTTCCTCATGTATTCTCTCTCCGTTCTATCTCGCAAGGCCTTCGTCAAAGATGTGTTCACATATTTCTTTCCTAAGGTCGTGAGTTTTTATTCGCTAGTCTCTGCGAACTGGTGCAAGTCTTAATGAGGCGTTGAGTTGTTGGATACAAACTCCCAGTCGGGATTCCGGGTTTCTGCTTTAAAGGTCAGAATTCCTTCTCTATCCTCCAATAGTTTTCATCGCCGGTTATTTCTTAGTGTAGCTTATTTTCTCTTCATTATTCTTTATGTAAGTTTTTTCTGCTTCCAGTTCTCTACGGACAAAGTGTTTCACCTACAGGACCTATACCCTTGCCCTTGTCTATTCCATCGGCAGGGTTTCGCAACTGCTCCAACTGTTCAGTCTCTTGCCCTCCTTCAAGTCAGTATGAGTATGTATCTTCCTCTTCACCTTCAATGACTTATTTTTCAAAAGCGTTTTCACCCTTGTCCTTTCCATTTTCAATAGTTTGTTTTCCACGGGCTGGAGTGTTGTTTTCATTTTTCGAGCGCGTCCCGCGCATCAAGAAAGGTAGCCTTCACCGGGTGCCTTTAGTTTGTCTTGCGAAGCAAGTGGTGGGCCGGCCCACACTTGATGTATTAATTCTGCACCCCTTCTGAGTTGATCTGATATGATCTATGAATTTATCAATTTACGGGGAAGCCTCGGGCTCAGGTCAGCGCGGTTTGAATTTAAAAGCTGTCTTTGGACAAGCAAAAAGATAAATAAATTGATGGAAACAGCCAAGCTTCTGGAAATGGTAGAAACAACTAAAATTGCAAAAGCTAGTTAGTCATCCAGCTGGCTTGCGAGACCTTTGAAATCTCAAGTGGTTTCAACAATTTCAACGTTCATAAAACTATACAGAAATTAAATCATCTAAACCGAACCGAAACCTTTGAAGTCTTTTTGTTTAAATCTCTTGATAATTTTGGGGGTTAAGTTCCAATGCGTTGAATGTTCACGTAATTTTGTCAAGCCTGTGGAAAATATTGAAGAAAATCAACCTCTACCCTCCGCTGGCTTGAGAAATGTCCAGGTCTAAAAAAAAATATGACAACTTGCAATATATAATCTAAATAAGCCGTTTCAGTTTCCTCAGTTCTGGTAAATTCTAAAGACGCTGGAACATGTTGAGGTGTTCTTTTATTCCCGAATGCGTAGCGAAGGGTTCTCGTTTAACTCTGGGGGTCGGGGCTTTAGAGCCTTGTTCGCGACGCGTTGTCTCAGCGTTCGCAACCGTCCGCCGCCGTTCGCAGTAGGGCGCTAAGGCGCTGCCACTGGGGGAAGCTTTTGGAGAGGGTTTCGGACGCAAACGTGACGTGTCAGATTCGTGTGAAATACAGAGGTGGAAGAACCTTAAATGTTGGATCCTGATTAGTAAAGGGCCACCCCCCCCTCCCTCAAACAAATGGGGGACCCTCTATAATAAATTACCACCAAAACAAATCTGGGTTCCTAGGAGGATTCCTTGTTGTAATTGATTGTAGTATGCATTGTCCTTTGTCTCTTTGTAGTAGTTGCAGTTGTAGTTGTAGTAGTAGCAGTACTAGTAGTAGTCGTTGTAATAGTAGTTGTAGTTGTAGTTGTTGTAGTAGCAGCAGTAGTAGTAGTAGTAGTAGCAGTAGCAGTAGCCGTAGCGGCAGCAGCAGCAGCAGCAGTAGTAGTAGTAGTAGTCGTCGTAGTGGTAGTGGTAGTGGTAGTGGTAGTGGTAGTGGTGGTAGTAGTAGTAGTACTGCAGATCTATTTTTCCAGTGGGAAAAATTTTCGCGATTGAGAACACCTAAAACAAATCTATTATTGATGAGCTACTACCTTGAAAATTTGTTTAGGAGCAATGTTTTACACAGGATTTGATTAGGAATTGGTGGTTTTGGAAAGCTGTCAGGCTTGAAGAAACCTAGAGAAACCTTTGCCAGCTAATGAATCATAATCATTGGCCCCAGGAGCTAAGTAAAGGAAGGTTTTTTCCAGTTTCACAATTGAGAACCCCTAAAACAAATCTATTATTGATGATCAGGTGCCTTCCTGGTCAGGGGCAATGTTCAGGGGCATCAGGTACCTTGAAAATTTGTTTAGGGGCAATGGTTATGGGAATTGGTGGTTTTTGAAAGCTGTCAGTTTTGAAGAAACCTAGAGAAACCTATATCAGCTAATGAATCATAATCATTGGCCTTAGGAGCTATGTAAAGGAAGATCTCATGAGCGTTTTTTTTCCAGTGGAAAACACTTTTCTTATCTGTGTCCAATATAAAACAAGATGGAGCCCACGAACCCGAATGCAAACACGTTCGAAAAGCTACATATGTCCAAATGACACTCTTGTGGGACACTCTTGTGGGTCACTCTTGTAGGAAACTCTTGTGGGACACTCTTGTGGGACACTCCTGTAGGACACTCTTGTGGGATACTCTTGTGGGGCACTCTTGTGGGACACTCTTGTAGGACACTCTTGTGGGACACTCTTGTAGGACACTCTTGTGGGACACTGTTGCAGGACACTCTTGTGGGACACTCTTAAGGGACACTCTTGTGAGACACTCTTGCGGGACACTGTTGCGCGACACTCTTGTGGGACAATTCTGTGGGGCACTCATTTGGGACACTCTTGCGGTACACTCTTGTGGGACACTCTTGTGGGACACTCTTAAGGGACCCTCTTGTGAGACACTCTTGCGGGACACTGTTGCGGGACACTCTTGTGGGACACTCTTGCGGGACACTCTTGTGGGACACTCTTGTAGGACACTATTGTAGGACACTCTTGTGGGACACTCTTATAGGACACTCTTGTAGGAAACTCTTGTGGGACACTCTTGTAGGGCACTCTTGTGGGACACTCTTGTAGGACACTCTTATAGGACACTCTTGTGGGACACTCTTAACTCTTGTGAGACACTCTTGTGGGACACGGTTGCGGGACACTCTTGTGGGACACTCTTGTGAGACACGCTTACGGGACGCTCTTGTAGGACACTCTTGTGGGACACTCTTGTAGGACACTCTTGTGGGACACTCTTACGGGACACTCTTGTTGCACATTCTTGTAGGACACTCTTGTGGGTCACTCTTATGGGACACTCTTGTCGGACACTCTTGTGGGACACTCATACGGGAGACTCTTGTGGGACACTCTTGTAGGACACTCTTGTGGGACATGCGGGACACTCTTGTGAGACACTCTTGTAGGACACTCTTGTGGGACACTCTTGTAAGACACTCTTGTGGGACACTCTTGTGGGACACTCTTGTGGGACACTGTTATAGGACACTCTTGTAGGAAACTCTTGTGGGACACTCTTGTAAGACACTCTTGTGGGGCACTCTTGTAGGACACTCTTGTACGAAACTCTTGTGGGGCACTCTTGTAGGAAACTCTTGTGGGACACTCTTGTGGGACACTCTTGTAGGAAACTCTTGTGGGACACTCTTGTGAGACACTATTGTGGGACACTCTTGTAGGACA